CAGGCCTGGTTCCATCTGCCACAGGGTTAGAGCACACAGGCTAGGAGCACTGAGCTGAGTCTTGGCCCCTGAAATCATTCAGAAATGAAGCCAGTCAACTAAGCACAACTTATATCACAGTCAAACCCTCAAGAGTATCAAAGACAATAAAAGCAAAAGCCTTATCCAAAGGACAACAACTTCAAAGATTAAAGGAATATCAGCCCAGAAAGATGAGAAAAAAGCAAGCATAAGAACTCTGGCAACTCCAAAGCCAGACTGTCTTCTTACCTTCAAATGACTGCACTAGCTCCCCAGCTATGGTTCTTACCCAGACTGAAATGGCTGAAATGGTAGATATGTATTCAGAATCTGGAGGCCAAAATCACTGAGACTCAGGAGAAAGCTGAAACCCAATCCAAGGAATCTGAGAAATCCGATATAGTAGTACCATAGCTGAAAGATAAAATAGCAATTTTTAACAAGAACCAAACTGATCTTCTAGAGCTGAAAAACTCTCTACAATAATTTCATAATACAATCAGAAGCATTAACAGGAGAATGAACCAAGTTGAGGTAAGAATTTTAGAGCTTGAAGACCAGTTCTTCAAATCAACTCAGACAAAAAAAAGAAAAAAGAATTTTAAAAATGAACAAAACCTCTGAGAAACATGGGATTATGTTTAAAAAAGAAACCCAAACAAATATATGACTCCATGCCATCCCAGAAAGAGAAGGAGAGAGAATAAGCTTTTTGGAAAACATACTTGAGGGTATCTTCTATGGAAATTTCCTCAGTCTCACTAGAGAGGTCAAAATGTAAATTCAGGGGATTCAGAGAACCCTAGCAAGATACCATATAAGATAACCATGTCCAAGACACATAGTCATCAGATTCTCCAAGGTCAACATGAGAGAAAAACTATTAAAGAAAGCTAGAGAGAAGGGTCAGGTAACATACAAAGGGAACCCCTTCAGGCTAACAACAGACTTTTCAGCAGAAATCTTGCAAGCCAAAAGAGATTGGGGGCCTACGTTCATATCCTTAAAGAAAAAAAATTCAAACCAAGAATTTTATATCCAGCCAAACTAAGCTTCATAAACGGAGGACAAACAAGTTGTTTTTCAGACAAGCAACTGCTAAAGGAATTTGTTATCACTAAATCCTTAAGGGAGTGCTGAACGTGAAAACAAGACTGTTACCTGCCCCCAGAAAAACACACTTAAGTACATAGCCCACTGACACCATAAAGCAGCTGTATAATCAAATCTATATAACATGAGGACAAAATCAAATTCACACATGTCAATATTATCCTTGAATATAAGTGGGTTAGATGCCCCATTTAAAAGGCAAGAGTGTCAAGAAGCAAGACCCAAATGTATGATGTCTTCAAGAGACTCATCTCACAAGCTTTGACATGCACTGACTCAAAGTAAAGGGGAAGACAAAGATCAATCAAGCCAATAAAAAACAAAAGGTAGCAGGGGTATAAAGTCTCATTCTGTCACCCAGACTGGAGTACAGTGGTGCAATCTTGGCTTACTGCAACCTCTGCCTCCCAGATTCAAGCAAGTCTCCTGTCTCAGCTTCCAGGGTAGCTGGGACTACAGGCACCTGTCACCATGCCTGGCTAATTTTTGTATTTTTAGTAGAGACAGTGGTTTCACCGTATTGGTCAGGCTGGTCTCAAACTCCTGACCTCAGGTGATCCACCTGCCTCAGCCTCCCAAAGTGCTAGTATTACAGGTATGAACCACCACACCCAGCAGGAGTTGCTATTCTTATTTCAGACAAAACAGACTTTAAGCTAATAATGATCATAAAGGACAAAGAATGGTATGACATAATGATAAAGGGTTTAACTCAACAAGAACACTTAACTGTACTACATATATGTGCATGCAACACTGGAGCACACCAATTCATAAAACAGGTTCTTAGAGACCTATGAAGAGACTTAGATAACCACATAGTAACAGTGGGATACTTCAGTACTTTACTGATAGTGGTAGACAGATTATTAGGACAGAAACCTAACAAAGATATTTGTGACCTAAACTTGACAGTTGAACAAATGAACCTAACAGACATCTACAGAAAACTCCACCCAACAACAGAATACACATTCTTCTCATCTGAACATGTCACTTATGTGAAGATCAACCACACTCTCCACCATAAAGCAATTCTCAACAAATTTTAAAAAGCTTAAACCATATCAGCCACATTCTTGGACCACAGTGCAATAAAAATATAAATCAATACCCAGAAGAACTCTCAAAACTAAACAACCTGGTTCTGAATGACTTTTGAGTAAAGAATAAAGTTAAAGCAGATATCAAGCAATTCTTTGAAACAAATATACACCTATACATAAACTTTGATGTACAAAATATTTCATAATAATGCATAGTATAGAATGAATTGAATGCATATTGCTGCTTTGTCCATACTAAGAGTTGTTTTAGGAATTGAACTAAATATTACCTGAATCTTATCTACTGCCTTTGGTTTTACATTATCTCCATCGTAAAGTGTCTCTCCAAGAGATGTCTTTGTGTTTTTACACAACCTGGCTTCAGAAGATGGGGGGGGCGGTGATTATCTTTATCCTTCCTCTTTCTTACGAAAATGCTCCCGTCTGATTTCTTCCAGATCCAGTTTCTCCATGGAACCAGACGATTCACTTTGAAGGCACTACTCTCATTTGCAGAATCATCTGTAAGCACCTATCTATGCAGGACTTAATATCCTCTTCTCACCTTATTTGTTGCATCTTTCATGTTCTGTAGCTGTTTGCAAATCTCTCTTAACTCTTCATTCTGAAATCTGACCCCAAAACAAGATTCTCCCAAACCAAACTAAGTAATCGACTTAGTCTTTCCTCTCTTTATCTATTTTTCCTTTTTGTGCAAACAGCTCTTCCTCCCTTTTCAAATGGAAATAGAATAAACCAGTCTCTTTCCCGGCAATTGCTCAGCTCTGAATACCCATTTCCCAAATTCTGCCTCACCAAAGCATAGAAATGGAGCCAGAAGACTCATACTATTCTTTAGAAATGGAAAGGATCACATCATTGAAACCAAAGTTGTCTTTAGCAGAATTTTTTTTAAATAGGTTTTTCTGTTAGGAAAAGTTTGAAACATGTATAACTTAATATATTTTTCTTTTTTCTTTTTTTTTTTTTTTTTTTTTTTTTTTTGCAGGTAGGAATCTTGCTCTGTCTCCCGGCTGGAGTGCAAGTGGTTATCCTCGGTCTTACTGCAAGCTCCCACCTCCTGGGTTCACGCTGTTCTCCTGCCTCAGCCTCCCAAGTAGCTGGGATACCAGTGCCCAACATCACCACGCCCGGGCTAATTTTTTTGTTATTTGTAGAGATGTGGGTTCACCGTGTTAAGCAGGGATGGTCCTGATCTCCTGACCTCGTGATCTGCCCACCTCCGCCTCGCCCAAAGTGCTGTCTCAACTATAACATGGTACTTTGGGTGAAAATACCCTCATGGATATGATGGTTAGAATGGTGACCTTTTAGAGTCTGGCAGACTGGAGATTAAATCTCAGTTTTGGTAAATTCAGTTGAATGTCTTGGCACCTTCATTTTCCTCCTTTTGTTAAAACTGGGATATAAAACCTACTTAACTTGGCTTGTTGTGAAATTTAAATATAGTGGAATGCTACAGAACATTTGTGGAAAGTCTTGCCCTTGAAAGCACTCCAGTAACTGGTAGTTTAATGTTACTCAAAGCCAGGCATGGTGGCTCAATACTTGAAATCCCATCACTTGGGGGAAGCTAAGGCGGGATGATTGCTTGAAGCCAAGAGTTTGAACCAGCCTGGACAAACATAGCCAAGACTAAATTTCTACTAAAAAAAAAAAAAAATTTTAGTCGGCTGGGCAGTGGTTCACACCTGTAATCCAGCTTTGGGTGGCCCTGAGGTGGTTGGATCAACCATAAGGTCAAGAGTTCAAGACCACCCTCGCCCAACATGGTGAAACCCTGATCCTCTACTAAAAATATAAAATTAGCCAGGCATGGCTGGTGCATTACCTGGTAGCCTAGCCACTGGGGGCCTGAGGAGGGAAGTCACTTGAACCCAGGAGGCAAGACCGTTGCAGGAGCGAGAATGCACCCATTGAACTCCAGTCGGGTAATCAAGAAGTGAAACTCCATCCTCAAAAATAAGAAAAAAATGTGTATATTCAATATTCCTGACTAGAAAACAGTAGGGGAAGAAGAATAAGTAAATAAATTGTACGATTTTCAGTGATTACCATTTTATATGAGGAGCTCACATGCATACCACAAAGCACTTGGAGGACTAACAAAGAATTAGGGAAGGGATAAGGGACCAGAAAGAGTCAGAGAGAACTTTTGGTATAGAGTTTTCAATGGCCAGAGGAAAAGAGGTCCAACTGCCGTAGAAAAATAATTATAGCTGAGATACGTGGGGCATACCTGCAGCCTTACTGAGTCAGTTCCTTCTCAATTCTCCATATCGTTCGTATCTGCAATTATTTGAAACGGAGACAGAATGAATCATATGTTACTACAAATA